ATTGAGTTCTCAGTGCTTCTGCTGTGGTCCACATACAATCCTTACAAGTCCCATCTCTGTTCTAGAGTCAAAAGTCTAGATCCAAGAGGTCAGAGAGCCATGTTTGGCTCTTCTGGACCTTGGATTGAAACCCAGGTGGGGTATTGTGTGGGAAAGATTGTCTTAGTATGCCAGTGTTGTTGTTGTCATTAATGGTGATCCTAAGTCAAACATCTCATGGTGTTTTCTGGATTGGAGATTGTATAACTCACCCAATGGGTTTCCATGGTGGAATGAGGAATCGGATCCTGGTCTCCAGTCTTTGTTTTTCCCCCATCATCCTTCAGTTATCATCATCATCATCATCATCACAAGTAACCCACATGTCATATTTTCCCAACTCTTGGAAAGAGCAGAAGTCAAGCCCAGACTGTGGTGTCCTCATTCCTTATACTGGAGGGGGAAGAGGCAAGCAATGGCCCATTCAACATCATCTCTTTGCGTCCGCAAAGAACCGTCCAGCGGAGCTGTTTCGAGTGGTCAAAGGTCTGTTAAATCCCACTGTTCCAGATGGGAACCCTGACAACTCGATGGCTCACTGTGAAGCATTTGCTCAGTTCTTTGTGGACAAAGTCGCTTTGATCCATTCTGACCTGGACACCATGTTAACGGCAGTCTCTGCGATGTAACACGAGCACCTGCTTGTCCGATTTTAATGGATTCATTTCAATTGGTGAAACCCGAGGATGTGGACAAGATACTTGGAGGAATGAGGCTGACCACATGCACCCTAGATCCCTGCCCATCCTGGCTTCTAAAGGAGGCCAGAGGGGGATTGGCCAAGTGGGTGAAGGTGGTGGTTAATGCCTCCCTTCGGGAAGGCAATATTCCAGCGAGCTTAAAACAAGCTATAATAAAACCGCTGTTGAAGAAACCATCACTGGATCCCACTCAATTCATCAACTATCAGCCTTTTTCCAATCTTCCCTTTTTGGGCAAAGTCCTGGAACATGTGGTGGCCTCACAACTCCAGGTATTCTTGGAGGACACTGATTATCTGGATCCGGCACAGTCTGGCTTTAAACTGGGACATGGAACCGAGACAGCCTTGGTCGCCTTAGTTGATGATCTATGCCGGGAGCTAGACAGGGGGAGTGTGTCCCTGTTGGTTTTGCTGGACCTCTCAGTGGCCTTTGATACCGTTGACCATGGTATCCTTCTGGGACGACTTGCTGGAATGGGCCTGGAGGCACTGTTCTACAGTGGCTCCGGTCCTTTCTGGAAGGTCGCACCCAGATGGTGTCACTGGGGGACACCCGTTCAACCCCACAACCATTGTCTTGTGGTGTTCCTCAGGGCTCAATACTGTCCCCCATGCTGTTTAACATATAAATGAAGCCGCTGGGGGAGATCATCCGGAGTTTCGGGTTGCGGTGTCATCTGTACACAGATGACGTCCAACTCTGTCACTCCTTCCCACCTGCTACTAATGAGGCTGTTCAGGTCCTGAACCGGTGCTTGGCTGCTGTGTTGGACTGGATGAGGGCTAACAAATTGAGACTGAATCCAGACAAGACAGAAGTACTCCTGGTCAGTCATAAGGCCGAACAGGGCATAGGGTTACAGCCTGTGTTGGACGGGGTTACACTCCCCCTGAAGACGCAGGTTCGCAGATGGGTGTAATCCTGGATTCATCGCTGAGCCTGGAACCCCAGGTTTCAGCGGTGACCAGGGAAGCACTTGCACAGTTAAAAATTGTGCGCCAGCTGCGCCTGTACCTTGGGAAGCCCGACTTGGCCATGGTAGTCCACGCTCTGGTTACATCCCGCATAGACTACTGCAACGCACTCTATGTGGGGTTGCTTTTGAAGACGGTCCGGAAGCTTCAACTAGTCCAACGAACGGCAGCCAGGTTGCTAACAGGAGCGGCCCTCAGGGAGCATAGAACCCCCTTGTTGCACCAGCTCCACTGGCTGCCGGTTTGCTACCGGGCCCAATTCAAAATGCTGGCTTTGGCCTTTAAAGCCCTAAACAGTTCCGGCCTAACTTACCTGTCCGAACGCATCTCCTCCTACGAACCACCGAGGACCCTGAGATCATCTGGGGAGGCCCTGCTCTCGGTCTCGCCCTCGACACAAGTACGTCTGGCGGGAACATGGTTGTTTGAGCAAGCGTTCACAAATACAGAGTAAACGACATAGGAAATTGAATGACCTGACGATGGAACTGGACAATGCTTGATAATAAGGAGATGCTAATGTTGTTGTTCTTATTACTGTTGTTTTAATGTTTTAATGTTTTAACTTGTTTTATGAAATTATGTACTGTTTTGTTGGAAACCGCCTTGAGTCGCCGATTGGCTGAGAAAGGCGGTATCCAAATACAGTAAATAAATAATAAATAATAAATTTCTATCCCCTCAATATTGCAGTCACCACCAAGCCACCTTTCCCCCTCTTGTCTGCATTGTCCTCCAGTGTTTTTTGGGTATGGATCAGGTCCATGTTGGAGGCGGGTGCCATCACTCCCCCCTCCCGAGAGCTCCTCCTGAAGCCAGATCAGAAACATGTGTCGGTCTTGGATTTGCAGTGTTATTAACTGCCCTGCCTGAGTTATGATGACAAGATTGCAGCTCTGGTTGAGATTTCCAGCTTTTGATTACTCCAAAGAGAGATCTTCTTCTGTCTTATTGTTCCCTTGGTACCGTTCTCATTGCCCCAGCAAAACATTCAAGCCATATCTATATTATTGACAGAGCAAATGATAATAATTTATGGATGGGGAGATTTATCGCTTGGGCTTCTGCCTCTTCTCTGTGTTCAGTTGCAACACTTCTGCGGAAACACAATTCTCCTTCTCACAGCTATGCGTAATTGGTGAAGAGATGAGGTGGAATAGTGTCTGATGTGAGAGTAAGAAGGATCCAGGTTCAAATCCTTGGTGAGCCGTAATGTACCCAAGGTGACCTTGAGCTATCTATGAAAAATAGAAGGACACCATAGATTTTTCTCCTTTATTCCTTTTGGGGGTAAAATAGTACTCAGAACCACATAGGACTAAATTCTCTTGTTTTCTAGATTAGCATAGACCTATTTACTAACATTTTGGCTTGCCATTTCACAATTGATTGAATAGGCTTTTGTTAGTTGGGAATAACCAACAGGATGTGAGCCATTTCTTGAAGGCTGAGATGCTCAGATGGGAAGAATCTAGGACTAATACGAATATTCGGAATGGAGAACTTACTTTGCACAAAATTTGCACATGGTGGTTTTGCACCAAAAGCAGAATTCTCTGCACAAACAAAATCCTTGTTTCTAAGAATGATTCCATCCCTGATATATTGGCTCTTTCTCTCCCAAGTTAGCGGGGAGAGGGGAGAGAGAGATTCCAGTCTCTGTTTTCCATGCACTTTTGCCATGGACATGTATACTAGGGCTGGGCGGTTTCGTTTCGTTAATTCGTAATTCGTTAATAATTCGTTATTTTTTCCAATTACAAAACGATAACGAACCATTCTGGAGCAATTTTTTTAAAAAAACGAATTTTTAAACACGTTTTGTAAATGCTTCGTATTTCGTTATTGTATTCGTTTCGTTATTGTTCTGAGGTCGTTTCGTTATTATTTCCGCATGTCTGGGCCAGTTTTATGGTTTAATTAGTGAAAAAAATTATAATATCACGCCAACAGTCAACAACAGAGGGAGAGGGAAGCTTCAGAAGTTTTTGGAGGTTTTTTAGCGTATTTCGCGGTCGCGTCCGCCATTAACGAATCGATTCGTTATTGTTTCGGAAATCGATTCGTTAATGTTTTGTAATTTTTTTCACATTTACGAAATTTCGTAAATACCGAACTTTTTAAGGGAAAATTTTGTAATTATTTTAAATATCGAAACAAAAAACCCCAAATACAAATCGATTTTAGAAACAAATTTTTCCGTTGTTACCCAGGCCTAATGTATACCTGTGCAAGCATGCACCGTGCATGATGGAAAGGTGATCTCCTTTGCGAGGCCAGTAATGTTGTTCATGCATTTTAATGCCTCATTATGCTTTAATGCGCAGCGGCAGTGGGATGGCCAAGTTTGGAGCGTCAGGTCGGGTAAGGTGATAACAGGGAGCCAGACAAATTGGACAAGTGCTCAGAGACATGGGTCACCCCTGGCCAAGGTGAAAGGCCTGCCTCCTGGAGAAGGCTAGGATCCTGGGGTGCTTTCTGCACGCTCAAATGCTCCTATTGAAATGTTTGGGCTGTCTTGTTCAGTGCAGAACAGCTGTATTCGGTTTGAGGTTGCGCATGAAATGGTACATGGTTTCAGCATCTAAGAAACAGTATGGGCTCTGAGCAATATTCACAATCACTGTATGAGGGTGCAAGAAATTGATGCTTTAGACCACAGCCAAGTATAAATTCCGGTGCATACGTTGGAGGCATATTCGGTGGTGCAATGTCCACAACCATAGAAACTTGGGCCCCGAAGGAACATATCAATGGGGGGATTTTTATTGGGGGGGGGGAACATCGATGCCATGGACTGCTAAAAGGCAAATGAAATGAGCCTTAGAACAAATCGAGCCCGATCTGTCACTAGAAGCAGAGATGACTAAACTGAGACTATTGTACTTTGGGCATATCATGGAATGATCCAATTTCTTATGTCTTTCCAATAGAGTCAGTGTGGAAAAAGTGGCCCATGGGCCAGAGTTTGAAAGAATACTTTTACAATTCCCAGAATTCCCATGACTTTGCCAGCTGGAGGATTCTGGGAATGATACTCCTCTTTCCACTCCCTGGATGTCCCAAGATTTGGCCATTTCTACAACATGGCTATGGATCCATCAAGTTACATGACATAGTTTGTGATGTAGGAACTCAGCTTTTGCTTGATGTCCATGTTTTCCTCTCTTTGTGAAAGTATGGAGATTAATGATTTTGCTATGCTGCCTCTCTGAAGAGCCTAATATGTGTATTCTTTTTCTCTCTTCCTCCCCCCCCCCCCACCCTTTTGCCTGCCTTTTAGGAACCAAACTGCTGATTGTGGCACTTTGTCTGAACTTCCTGGCGGAAGTGAGACCTTGCCCTGGGGCTTGTGTCTGTTACAGCGAGCCCAAGATCACCATAAGCTGCCAGCTGCAAGGACTCGCAGCCATCCCCACTGAGATTCCCGTTCAGACTCAGCGAGTCTTTCTCCACAGCAACAAAATAGCCACAATCGGGTCCACCAGCTTCACCTCCTGCCGCAACATGTCCATCCTGTGGATCCATTCCAACAACATCAGTGTAATTGAAGCTGGGGCATTCTATGGACTGGATAAGCTGGAGGAGCTAGACCTGAGCGACAACATGAACCTGAAGTCCATTGCCCCATCCACCTTCCGAGGCCTTGTCCGGCTCCATACATTACACCTCGCTCGCTGCGGACTCTTGGAGCTCTCTACGCAGCTCTTCCGAGGGCTTTTCTCCTTGCAGTATCTCTACCTGCAGGACAACAACTTGCAGAACCTCCAGGATGACACCTTTGTGGATCTGGCCAACCTCACCTATCTGTTTTTGCATGGGAACAAAATTAAGACCTTGTCTGAGAATGTCTTTCGAGGGCTGACCAATCTGGACCGGCTGCTCTTGCATCAGAACCGGGTGAGCGTGGTCCACCGTCGGGCTTTCCATGATCTGGGGAAAGTGTTGACCTTGTACCTATTTAACAATAACCTGACAGTGCTCACGGGAGAGACGATGACACCATTGGTGTCCCTACAGTATCTGCGTTTGAATGGGAACCAGTGGTTGTGTGACTGCCAAGCCCAGTCCCTCTGGGATTGGTTTCAACAGTTTAAGGGATCCTCTTCAGAGCTGGAGTGCCATCTGCCTGCCCACCTGGCAGGACGGGACCTCAAACGATTGGAGAGCTCTGACCTGGAAGGCTGCCTCGACTCCTTCAACCAGGTCCGAACCAGCGTCTTCAGCACCAAGACCCGATCTGGCAAGTTGCCGACAGCTGGCCCTCCTCTCCTCCCACCTGAAAGCTCCCGCAAATGCTGCCAGTCAGAAATGGATAAATCTTTTATTTATGAAGCCAAAGCCAAGGCGGGCCCCTCTTCGCACAGTAGCCGGGCCTCCCCGAACAACCCGCTCAAGGATAAGGAGAACATGGCCAAAACCAAGTACCCAGGGGAGATGGACCCCATCAAAAATGGGAGCAACAAGCAGATCAATGACTCCCCCTTTGGGACTTTCCCCAGCGTGGTGGACCCCCCCTTGACCAATTTGAAACCTGAGTTCCTAGGCCCCATCCAGCCCTCCACAGTCCCGACCAAAAAGAGGCAAGGGTGTTCCAAAAAGAACAAGTCGAGGTCGCAGTGCCGCATGTCCCAGCCCGCACCAAACTCCACCTCTCCGCTCATCCCGAGCATATTGATCCCGCCTTTGGTGTGGACCCTGATTTTGTTTGTGCTCAAAAACGAGTCGTTCCCTTGAGCTGCGATGCTCTCGAACCCCAGACTTTTGCTTTAAAAAAAGAAAATCAACCAAGAAATGGGAAACTGACCATAATTTGTGCCACCGCCACCACACCCTGGACGCCGTGATTGATCGGAGAAAACTTTGCGACGCAAACCGTTAACTGGATGCCTTTCTTGACCTAAAACAAAGGAAAAAGACTCTCCCCCTACCGCCCACCGACACACACACACAAACCAACAAAAAAATTGTACATAATTTATTTGTCCCTCCTCCTGAACTCTATGTGTTTGATTTGTTGTTTTTGGTCCTTGGAACAACAGCGCTTCTCTTCTGGTCGTTCTCCCCAAAGCAGAGGGTTCAAACCGGAAAAGGGGAGGAAAAGTGAAATAAAACAGGAAACAAACGATGAGGTGCGAAAAGTTCACTATCACAATGTGTTGTTTTTTTAAAAAAGATATTGAAATGAAAAAAAAAAGCAGAGAAGCGTGGCGTGTAATTAGAAACTGTTCTTAAATGATGTTTGCCAGTTTTGCCGCCATTGTTTTTCCCTCCCACAATGCCATGTTTACGGAAGGGGGGCATTTGTTCAAGAATGCTTCCTCATCATTCACTCAAGGCTGCGGTGTGTATGTGTATATATATACACACACACATAGATAGATATGTATTTTATTTTACATGTGTACAAGTGCAACAGAAAGAGAAAGAGATGCAAAATAAAGATTTCCTCATTTTTTTCCCCGTTACGGTGTCATCGCCTACACACAAGCTTGCACCAATTGAGGCCATGAGAGTGGAAAATCCCCAAAGTGAATAACTCAAACAATATAATGGTTGGAATCCTCCATCTGGGGATGTATCTCTGTGAAGTAGCTATATTTCCATAGTTTCCTGTCTTTTGGTTCTACCCCCCCCCCCATAAAAAAAACCCCTAACTTTAACATGCTTCAGGCCCCCAACATGGCCAGTTCTGTGGCATTGGAGTGTGTGGATTTTGGGTCACTCATTTTCCCTTTTTTCAGGAATGGCCTCATGTAACCCCTGGACCCCCATCAACAATCTGCCCAACCTACACATTTTAAATCTCTCCCCAGATCTCTATATTATCCTCACACACCTCTGTTTTCCTCTGTAGTCCTTCTCAAAATGGTGACAGGAAGGGATGCATTGTCACTTCCTGTAGACATTTTGTGAGGAACTGCAAAAGAAAATGGAGGTACTGGGGCTTGTTTTGGGGTAGTTGCAGACTAGAAGGTCTATGGCCTAACCTGGGTGCTATTGCCCGACCTTACAGTGCCAGATATCCTGCAACCGACCTTCACAATGACCTTCAGGGTTTCTACAAAAGTTCCTGCAGACTCGGGGAGTCTACCACGATAATTCACCACCATGATTCTAACCATAGGATACAGGTTGAGCCTCCCTTCTCTGGAAATACGGGTATTTTAAAATCCGAAATACTTCGGGTCCCAAGCATTTTGAATAAGGAAAACTCAACCTGTCACATACGAAACAGATGTGGAACATCATACCCAATGGGATACCTTTAAGGGCAACTACAAAAAGCCAGTGATGCTATTATGATAGTCCAATACAAACAAACAAAGGTCAACCATCACAGAATGTTAGACCTGTGTTGAATGCCATTGAACCATAGCACTGATGGTAAGTGCCGGCGAACAAGAACTTGATCTGCTCATGATATCTGGAGAATCAGCATAAACTCAGGTCCACATAGAGGGTTAAGCTGGCAAAATGTCCAATGGGAACCTGACAACCATTCATTAGGAACTCCTGAAGCTGTTTCCAAGGTCTTGTGATGGTGTCCCCCAAGCTTGCAACAAACATGGTCTGATAGTATGTTCCTTTCATAGACACACGCAAGACACACTCATGTTGGGAAATATCCATCTCAGGTAATTTGGATCCTGTTTGGAACTCTTACAAAGTCCACCTGGACTGGGCAAAAGGTAATGAATAAGTCATGTACAGAGCATCAGCATCAACAAAGATTTCCTTTGCACATTCACAGAATCTTAGAGTTAGAAGGGCAATCTAGTTCACCCCCTCCTATGTAGGTAAGGTAAAGGTTTTTCCCTGACATTAAGTCCAGTCATGTCCGACTCTGGGGATTTTGTGCTCATCTCCATTTTTAAGCCAAAGAGCCAGCATTGTCCATTGACACTTCCAAGGTCATGTGGCCGGCATGACTTATGGAGCGCCGTTGCCTTCCCATCAGAGCGGTACCTATTGATCTCACATTTGCATGTTTTCGAACTTCTAGATTGGCAGAAGCTAGGGCTAACAGCGGGAGCTTGCCCCACTCACCAGATTTGAACCTGTGACCTTTTGGTCAGCAGGTTCAGCAGCTCAGCACTTTAACCCACTGTGCCACTGGGGGCATGTACAAATACACAACCAAAGTACACATAAAAGTTGACCATCCAACCTGTTTGAAGTCCTACAAAGAAGGATAGTCTGCCACCTTTCAGAATTCAAACATAAAAGAGTGGATGCAAAGAGAATCCCTAATGCCTTAGCATTACCTAGAAAAGTAGGTCGTGTAATCAGAACCATAGATGTTTGGGAGATATTTGGTTGAGGCCAACATGAGAAGTTCCTCCGATATCTATTAGCAGAAAGAACGCAGCTACTAAATCATATATTATGATGTGTCCCAGATTATTCTCTCGTCCATTTGATATCTATTCCCATAAAAGGAGGTTTGTGTCCATTATAAACCAGCAAGCCCAAAGGTGACTACTCCCAGCATATGTTCATCACACTGGTGACATGAACTCCTGGTGTTTCGGCCACCTGGTCCCCATCTGGATGAGCCATCCGGTTGATTCACTGCAATCAGGCAGTAGTTAGGTCACCATCAAAAGAGGGATTGAGCTACAATTAAGGGATTGGAACTCAAACTCTAGGTGACATAATGGAGATGGGTGATGTTTCATCCATGATTTCTTCACTCCAGGTCATACCTCTGGTCAGGATTCTTAAAACCTCATGCTCACATCTTTTAGTGTAGTCCTAACCTTGATCTTGTGGGTGCAAATGAGAGTAATTTAACTAAAAGTTTTGGCTAGATGGCTGCACAAATGCAATAAAGACCTTTGTCTGGGCTCGTTGTGGCAGAGTCACCTTATCCAGGAGGAAGATAACATAGGTCAGGTGATGCCAGCTGGCAAAATGCAGAGCAGCTTCCAAACTCTGCAACGCTTTAAGAGAAGCATAAGTGTCAGGTGTCAGCTTGGATCAACAATGCCCATGCCACTTGGTGAGGAGCCCAAAGGAGGTGCCACAGCTGTTCCCTGAAATGGATCTTGGCCACATCATGCTAACCACTGTGATGCCAGGGAATTAGTCATAGCTTGGCATCAATCACTGAGCAGAAGGACCCGCTCATTTGGCAACCAGGCCAGAAGAAGTCTCTCATCACTGATGCAGCATATCAATCTATGAATGACCTAATCCTCCAACCACTACTGTCATGTTGGACAATAAAGCCCATCACTGTTCATTGGATGGGGCAAACAGTTCCAGATTGAGGAAAAGCTGCTTCAGAGAGAAATGATAAAGTTGTCCTCTATACTTTCAGAAGAGCTCATGGATCAATGTACAACGTGGTGAAATATTTGGGAGAATGGGGAAAAATGCTTCTTCATTAAACACATGGTGAATTTGCACTTCCAACTCACTGATTTTCAGCCAATGGATTCGTCTCTCCTTAACTCGGTGTCTTCTCTCCGTCTCTGGTGTCTTCCATCCAATGGATTTATTCATCCTCAACTCAGTATCTTCTATCTCTGGTGGCTTCCATCCAATGTATTCATCCATCCTCAATCCAGTGTCTTCTCTCCATCTCTGGTGGCTTCCATCCAATGTATTCATCCATTAATGACTTAGATGAGAGTTAGAAGGCATGATCATCAAGTTTGCAGATGACACCAAATTGGGAGGGGTAGCTAATACTCCAGAAAACAGTAGCAGAATTCAAAACGATCTTAACAGATTAGAGCAGTGTTTCTCAACCTTCCTAATGCCATGACCCCTTAATACAGTTCCTCGTGTTGTGGTGACCCCCAACCATAAATTATTTTGGTTGCAACTTCATAACTGCAAATTTGTTACTGTTCTGAATCGTAATGTAAATATCTGATATGCAGAATGTATTTTCATTCACTGGACCAAATTTAGCACAAATTTACACCCAAATTTGAATACTGGTGAGGTTGGGGAAGATTGATTTTGTCATTTGGGAGTTGTAGTTGCTGGGATTTATAGTTTACCTACAATCAAAGAGCATTCTGAACTCCACCAATGATAGACCAACAGAAAATACTGGAGGGCATTGACCTTGAGTTTTGGAGTTGTAGTTCACTTATGTCCAGAGATCACTGTGGACTCAAACAACGATGGATCTGGACCAAAGTTGGCATGAATCCTCAAATTCATGCACACTGTGCTTAAATTCATGCATACACATATGCCCAAATGTGAACACTGGTGGAGTTTGGGGGAAATAGACCTTGACATTTGGGAGTTGTAGTTGCTGGGATTTATATTTCACCTACAATCATAGAGCACTCTAAACACTACCAGCGATAGAATTGGGCCAAACTTCCCACACAGAACCCCATGCGTTGAAGGGCTGGTGCAAGGTTCTCTCCAGCCTCGCACGCTCTCCCTTGCCTGCACGTGTGCACCACGCTGACATGTGCCAAGCACACCTGATCTCCTCACTTGGAGTCTCAGAAACAGTCCTCCTCTTGGCTGAGAGGCCAGCCAATCACAGTGGAGGAGGGATTTTGGTGGGAGGATTCGCTGTCTGTTTCCATAAAGGAAGAGAAGGACAGGCAGAGAGATATTTAGCCTTTTCTGCCAAAGGGTTTCCTAAGACCATCAGAAATATATGTTTTCTGATGGTCTTTGGTGACCCCTCTGAAACCTCCTCGTGCCCCCCCCCAGGGGTCCTGACCCCCAGGTTGAGAAATGCTAGATTAGATAGATGGGCCAAAATGAACAAAATGAAGTTCAACAGAGCCAAATGCAAGATACTCCACTTAGGCAGAAAAAATGAAATGCAAAGATACAGAATGGGAGACGCCTGGCATGACAGCAGAACACGTGAAAAGGACCTTGGAGTCCCTGTGGACAACAAGTTAAACATGAGCCAACAATGCCATGCGGCAGCTAAAAAAGCCAATGGGATTTTGGCCTACATCAATAGGAGTCTAGTGCCGAGATCCAGGGAAGTCATGTTATCCCTCTATTCTGCCTGGGTCAGACCACATCTGGAATCACACTGTGCCCACATCTGGGCATCGCAATTGAAGAGAGATGTCTCTAAGCTGGAATGTGTCCTGAGGAGGGTGACTAAAAGAATCAAGGGTCTGGAGAATAAGCTCTATGAGGAATGGCTGAAAGAGCTGGGCATGTGATGAGGGCCATAAAGATGTGAGGGGAAGTCATAAGGAAGAGGAAGCAAGCTTGCTTTCTGCTGCTCTGAAGACTAGGATGCAGAAAAATAACTTCAAACTACAAGAAAGGAGATTCCACTTGAACATTAGGAAAAACTTCCTAACAGTGAGACAGAGGTGTTCAGCAGTGGAACCCTGCCCCAGAGTGTAGTGGAGGCTCCTTCTTTGGAGGCTTTTAAGCAGAGGAGAGATGGCCATCTGTCAGGGGTGCTTTGAATGTAATTTTTCTGCTTCTTGCAGGGGATTGGACTGGAT